GTTCCCTCTTTCCAACCCACTCTCCCTCTACCCTCCCTGTTTCACCACTCACACCACTGGTCCTGTAGGGCTCATCCTTCCTGGGTTCCCTGTATTTCCAGTCCCTATCTGTACCAGTGTACATCCTCTGGTCTAGCTAGACTTGCAAGGTAGAATTCGTATCATGATAGTGGGGGTGGGGAAGAAGCAGAGGAAAGTTGTATTTTTCATCGTTGCTTCGTCGCACCCTGACTGGCTTGTCTCCTCCCCGAGACCCCTCCAGCAGAACTTCTTCCCCCCACATCTCCTTCCTTGTTTATCCAGATTTCCCTGCTGACAGGTGGGGCACCCAGGCACCAGGGACCCACAGCTGTCCAATTCAGAATTTTACTAGACTTTGTACCCCAGCCTCCCTCCCTATCATATAGAAATATTTTACACTCAGTGGAGCAGCTGCTGGAATTCTTCCAAAGTGGCTTTCTTAGTTAGCTCCTCCTTTTCCTTTGTCGGGTACTCTTTTAGTAACCTAGCTTAACACAAGGAACTACATATTATTTCAAATTGCCTTTAACCCCTGCTAGCAGTGAGCTCCGCTTCTCTTCCCCCTCCTGACTGTCCAGACAAGACCTGGACTCTTCCGAGATGTCTCCAAATTCTGCCTGCCCGATTAGTAAGAAATGTATGCTATCCTGTAAGACCTTGAATGAGCACCAGCAGCTGTGCTGTTTCCCCCAATTCCGTTATGCTGTCATCCTGATAAGAATGTAACGGCTAAGCCCCCTATTTTGAAGTATAAAAAGTGTGGAGTTCCTTTGTCCTTTCTCGAGAGGTTTCCAGGTGCTAACCTACTCTCGGTCCAGCTGATTAATAAAGGCTCTCATTAATAATATACTGTAGTGGTGTGGTTGGGAGGGACACCTGCTTAAGGCCCCAGTTTCACAGCACTCTAGTGGCACACCCAGGAACTGCAGGTATGACCTCATGGCATCTAGCTCTCTCTGCTGATTTTGTTTCCTAGACGGATAATGCTGTCCCCAAGGGATTGGCGCTACACTAATTGGGATAGATTTGAACTGGAGATGCTGGAGAAACCGAAGCTGGTCTGGTTCTGCAATACCATCGGGCTCCGGACATTCTAGGTGATGGGGATTCCTGGCCGAAGAACGGCACACTTTCACTTCCAACCCTGATTCAGCTAGAATATTTCTGTGGGAGGAGTTCCCTTATGTGAGAGCTTTTTTCCTGTTAAGGAACAGTAAAGACCTTCGTTCACAGTGTACCCACGACCCACTAAGGGGCCCTGAAGTTGAAGGCTACTCTACACCCCAGCCTAGCCACACCACCCTCAGACCCTGAACCTGCAGATGCTGGGGAAGCAGGTGACCCTGCCAGCGTTCTGCCCTTAGTAGAGACAACTGGGGAGTTTGGTCCCCAGGCAATTCTCAGACCTTTCACCCAATTAAATTCAGGCAGATTAAAAGTGATCTGGGAAGTTACTCTGACAAACCTGAACAGTACATAGAGCTTCCAGCGTCTCACCCTAGCCCAGCGGTTCTCAACGTGTGGGTCATGACCCCTTTGGGGGTCGAAAAACCCTTTCACAGGGGTCGCCCGATTCATAACAGTAACAAAATTACAGTGATGAAGTAGCAGCGAAAATAATTTTATGGTTGGGGGGGGTCACCACAACCTGAGGAACTATATTAAGGGTCGTGGCATTAGAAAGGTGTGGGGGAAGCCAGTCCCCCACAACTACTCGTGGGTTCAGTAAGCGCAATTGTACGGTTGAGATCTATAGATTATAATAAAGTCATAGAGAATGAGAGATAGGAGAGAGTAAAATAAAGAAGTCAGACACATTTCACGGTAGCATGCTCACCTCCTGGATGGCCACGATCTCCA